TGGATTTTAACACCTAATATGTGATCTGCTTCAACCATGTCCTTCATTTCAAAATTTGAGGACAACAATTTCTTAATGATTTTAATATACTCTTTATCATTTCCAACGAGTAAGATATCATTTACGTAGAGAGATAAAATTACAAATTTCTTATTAGACTTTTTCAAATATATACAGTGATCTTCGTCCATCATGACAAAATTGTACGAGATAACTGCTTTGTCAAATCTCAAGTACCATTGTCTAAAATACTGCTTTAGGCCACAGATTGATCTATTAAATTTACAAACTTTATTCTCTTGGCCATTTTTAATGAAACCTACTGTTTGTTACATGTAAATTTTTTCATCTAATTCTCCACTGAAAAAGGCAGCGTTCACGTCCATTTGATGTAATTTTAAATCTACACGTGCCACAATAGCTAAGAGTAGACGAATTGAAGTAAATCTCACTACTGGTGAAAATTTCTCTTCAAAATCTATACCCTCATGTTGAGTATAACTCTTTGCCATCAAGCGAGCCTTATACCTCTCTATAATCCCATCAGCTCTTCACTTTACTTTGAGAACCCATTTGTATTCAATGGCTTTTCGACAGATGGAAGATCAACCAAGTCCCAGACTTGATTCAATTTCATAGACTCCATCTCTCCTTCCATTACATTATTCCACTTTTCCTTTTCAGGGCATAATAGAGCTTCTTGTACTGATTTTAGTTCTTCATCATCTTTTGGAGATACTAGGAAAACTTGCCCTTCAATTTTGAAATGACGTTTTGCCATACTTTTTCTATTAATCTTACGAAGTGAAAGCTCATATATAACCCCGTCACTTAGAGTTGGAGATAAATTTCTCCCACTACGATCAACAGGTGGTAATGTTTCCTCTTGCACCCCAATTGATCCATCAAGTACAACTCTATCATCTAATTCATACTAAGGTTCTTCCTTTTTAATTTCTCCATTGCTAGGAAAATCACTCTAAAAAAAGTCACATTACGTAATTCTATCTCAGTTATAGTCCCATCTTGATTTTCACCTATGAACACATATCATTTGGACTGGTCTGAATATCTTATAAAGATACACTTCTTGCCTCATGGACCTAATTTTCCAAACTTACTTGAAGAATCATGGATATAGGCATCTGATCCCCAGGATCTAAGAGAACTCAAATCAGGGGATCTACTTATCCAAAGCTGATATGGTGTAGTAGGTATTGATTTAGAGGGAACTCTATTCAGAATATAGGTCGCAGTTAACAAAGCATCTCCCCAATAAAAAATAGATAAGTTACCATGCACCACCATTTCTAGCAATGTTCTATTCCTCATCTCAGCAACACCATTTTTGTTAAGGTGTATTAAGAATAGATAACTGTCTAATGATTCCCTTATCGTTGCATAGTTCTTTAAACTCTTCATACAAATATTCACGCCCTCGATCAGTTCTTAAAGTTTTCACCTCTCTATATATTTGATCTTCTACCACATTTAAATATTGTCTAAAGCATTCTAATGCCTCAAACTTATGAGAAATCAAATAGACATAACTATACCGCGTGAAATTGTCTATAAAAGTATAAAATAAGAGGCTCCATATATTTTCCTCACATTTGTAGGGCCACATATATCTGAATGGACTAACTGCAATGGAAATTCGGCTGTTAAGCCTTTGCCGAATAGTTTTCGTGTTGTTTTTCTAATTAGGCAATATTCACAAGTAGGTAATGAAACCTTAGAGATTGAACCTATCAAACCTTCTTTAGCTAGCCTATTTATTCTCTCTTGCCCAATATCTCATAATCAGCATGTCATACAGATGTATCAATATTCAAATCTTTAGAAGCAGAAGAAGAAGACACGTTCATAGAAAAACAACAATCAATACAATAATTATAAGTGTTTGGATCACAATCCAACACTACAAAACCACCTTCTTCATGTCTAAATCCATAAAATACATTATCATTGTTTATACGAACAAATTTACCACAAAAGTTTACACTGAAACCTAATCTTAAAAGAACAACAATAAAAATTAAGTTCCTTCGTATCCGTGATGCAAGCAAAACATCATGAAGGAGAATAGTACGACCACCACGCAAATGTAACTTGCATGTACCGATCCCTTTCACTTCCACTCTGTCATTGATGCTGACGTATATCCACTTTGTACTAGCTGGAAATCGACGAAACTTCACAAAGCTTATTGATCCCTAGTTACGTGGTATGTCGCTCCTGAGTCATCTTTGGCGGCTCAGGGCATTCCCTATCAAAGTGACCCAAC